GGTGGTGGGCCTGGTGCTGGGCCTGGTGGTGGGCCTGGTGGTGGGCCAGGTGCTGGTCCTGGTGCTAGTCCTGGTGCTGGTCCTGGTGCTGGGCGTGGTGCGGGTCCTGGTGCTGGTCCTGGTGCTGGTCCTGGCGCTGGTCCTGGTGCTGGGCCAGGTGCTGGGCCTGGTGCTGGTGCTGGTGCTGGGCCTGGTGGTGGGCCTGGTGCTGGTCCTGGTGCTGGTCCTGGTGCTGGTGCTGGTGCTGGTCCTGGTGGTGGGCCTGGTGCTGGGCCTGGTGCTGGGCCAGGTGCTGGGCCAGGTGCTGGGCCTGGTGCTGGTCCTGGTGGTGGGCCTGGTGGTGGGCCAGGTGCTGGTCCTGGTGGTGGGCCTGGTGGTGGGCCTGGTGCTGGGCCTGGTGGTGGGCCTGGTGGTGGGCCAGGTGCTGGTCCTGGTGCTAGTCCTGGTGCTGGTCCTGGTGCTGGGCGTGGTGCGGGTCCTGGTGCTGGTCCTGGTGCTGGTCCTGGCGCTGGTCCTGGTGCTGGGCCAGGTGCTGGGCCTGGTGCTGGTGCTGGTGCTGGGCCTGGTGGTGGGCCTGGTGCTGGTCCTGGTGCTGGTCCTGGTGCTGGTGCTGGTGCTGGTCCTGGTGGTGGGCCTGGTGCTGGGCCTGGTGCTGGGCCAGGTGCTGGGCCTGGGCCTGGTGCTGGGCGTGGTGCTGGCCCTGGTGCTGGTGCTGGGCCTGGTGCTTGTGCTGGGCCTGGTGCTGGTCCTGGTGCTGGGCCTGGTGCTGGTGCTGGTGCTGGGCCTGGTGCTGGGCCTGGTGCTGGTGCTGGGCCTGGTGCTGGGCCTGGTGCTGGTGCTGGGCCTGGTGCTGGGCCTGGTGCTGGCCCTGGTGCTGGTGCTGGTGCTGGGCCTGGTGCTGGGCCTGGTGCTGGTCCTGGTGCTGGTGCTGGGCCTGGTGCTGGGCCTGGTGCTGGGCCTGGTGCTGGTGCTGGTGCTGGGCCTGGTGCTGGTGCTGGGCCTGGTGCTGGGCCTGGTGCTGGTGCTGGGCCTGGTGCTGGGCACCTGGTGCTGGTGCTGGGCCTGGTGCTGGGCCTGGTGCTGGTGCTGGGCCTGGTGCTGGTGCTGGGCCTGGTGCTGGGCCTGGTGCTGGGCCTGGTGCTGGTGCTGGGCCTGGTGCTGGTGCTGGGCCTGGTGCTGGGCCTGGTGCTGGTGCTGGGCCTGGTGCTGGGCCTGGTGCTGGGCCTGGTGCTGGTGCTGGGCCTGGTGCTGGGCCTGGTGCTGGGCCTGGTGGCCTATAATTCCTCAGACTGTAGGACCACCTCTTGTGTCGTGCCGGTGGTTGGGGGGGGGGGGGGCTGGTGGTGTTCCCGGTCTTGCTGCTGCTGTTGCTGCTGCTGCTGCTGCTACTGTTGCTGCTGCTGCTACTGTTGCTACTGTTGCTGCTGCTGCTACTGTTGCTGCTACTACTGTTGCTGCGGCTACTGTTGCTGCTGCTACTGTTGCTGCTGCTACTGCTGCTACTGTTGCTGTTGCTGCTGCTGCTGCTGCTGCTACTGTTGCTGCTGCTACTGTTGCTGCTGCTACTGTTGCTGCTGCTGCTACTGTTGCTGCTGCTACTGTTGCTGCTGCAACTGTTGATGCTGCTACTGCTACTGTTGCTGCTGCTGCTGTTGCTGCTGCTGCTGCTACTGTTGCTGCTGCTACTGTTGCTGCTGCTGCTACTGTTGCTGCTGCTGCTGCTGTTGCTGCTACTGTTGCTGCTGCTGCTGTTGCTGCTGCTACTGTTGCTGCTGCTGCTGTTGCTGCTGCTGTTGCTGCTACTGTTGCTGCTGCTGCTATTGCTGCTGCTGCTGCTGCTACTGTTGCTGCTGCTGCTGCTACTGTTGCTGCTGCTGCTGCTGTTGCTGCTGCTGCTGCTGCTACTGTTGCTGCTGCTGCTGCTGCTACTGTTGCTGCTGCTGCTGCTGCTACTGTTGCTGCTGCTGCTGCTGCTGCTGCTGCTGTTCCTGTTTCTGCTGCTTCTGTTGCTGCTGCTACTGTTGCTGCTGCTGCTGCTACTGTTGTTGCTGCTGCTGCTACTGTTGCTGCTGCTGCTACTGTTGCTGCTGCTGCTGCTACTGTTGCTGCTGCTGCTACTGTTGTTGCTGCTGCTGCTGCTACTGTTGCTGCTGCTACTGTTGTTGCTGCTGCTGCTACTGTTGCTGCTGCTGCTACTGTTGCTGCTGCTGCTGCTGCTGCTACTGTTGCTGCTGCTGCTACTGTTGTTGCTGCTGCTGCTGCTGCTGCTGTTGCTGCTGCTACTGTTGTTGCTGCTACTGTTGCTGCTGCCACTGTTGCTACTGCTACTGTTGTTGCTGCTACTGTTGCTGCTACTGTTGCTGCTGCTGCTGCTGTTGCTGCTGCTGTTGCTGATGTTGCTGCTGCTGCTACTGTTGCTGCTGCTATTGTTGCTGCTGCTACTGTTGCTGCTGCTGCTATTGTTGCTGCTGCTACTGTTGCTGCTGCTGCTACTGTTGCTGCTGCTGCTGCTACTGTTGCTGCTGCTGCTACTGTTGTTGCTGCTGCTGCTACTGTTGTTGTTGCTGCTGCTACTGTTGTTGCTGCTACTGATGCTGCTGCCACTGTTGCTACTGCTACTGTTGCTGCTGCTACTGTTGCTGCTGCTGCTGATGTTGCTGTTGCTGCTGATGTTGCTGTTGCTGATGTTGCTGCTGCTGCTACTGTTGCTATTGTTGCTGCTGCTACTGTTGCTGCTGCTGCTGCTATTGTTGCTGCTGCTACTGTTGCTGCTGCTGCTACTGTTGCTGCTGCTATTGTTGCTGCTGCTACTGTTGCTGCTATTGTTGCTGCTGCTACTGTTGCTGCTGCTGCTACTGTTGCTGCTGCTATTGTTGCTGCTGCTGCTACTGTTGCTGCTGCTATTGTTGCTGCTGCTACTGTTGCTGCTGCTGCTACTGTTGCTGCTGCTATTGTTGCTGCTGCTACTGTTGCTGCTGCTGCTACTGTTGCTGCTGCTACTTTTGCTGCTGCTGCTACTGTTGCTGCTGCTGCTACTGTTGCTGCTGCTATTGTTGCTGCTGCTACTGTTGCTGCTGCTGCTGCTACTGTTGCTGCTGCTATTGTTGCCGCTGCTACTGTTGCTGCTATTGTTGCTGCTGCTACTGTTGCTGCTACTGTTGCTGCTGCTATTGTTGCTGCTGCTACTGTTGCTGCTGCTGCTACTGTTGCTATTGTTGCTGCTGCTACGGTTGCTGCTGCTGCTACTGTTGCTGCTGCTATTGTTGCTGCTGCTACTGTTGCTGCTGCTGCTACTGTTGTTGCTGCTGCTACTGTTGTTGCTGCTGCTACTTTTGCTGCTGCTATTGTTGCTGCTGCTATTGTTGCTGCTGCTGCTGCTACTACTGTTGCTGCTGCTATTGTTGCTGCTGCTACTGTTGCTGCTGCTGCTACTGTTGCTGCTGCTATTGTTGCTGCTGCTACTGTTGCTGCTGCTGCTACTGTTGCTGCTGCTATTGTTGCTGCTGCTACTGTTGCTGCTGCTATTGTTGCTGCTGCTATTGTTTCTGCTGCTACTGTTGCTGCTGCTGCTACTGTTGCTGCTGCTACTGTTGTTGCTGCTGCTACTGTTGCTGCTGCTGCTATTGTTGCTGCTGCTACTGTTGTTGCTGCTGCTACTGTTGCTGCTGCTATTGTTGCTGCTGCTACTGTTGTTGCTGCTGCTGCTGCTGATGTTGCTGATGTTGCTGCTGCTACTGTTGTTGCTGCTGCTATTGTTGCTGCTGCTACTGTTGCTGCTGCTGCTACTGTTGCTGCTGCTATTGCTGCTGCTGCTACTGTTGTTGCTGCTGCTACTATCGATGTGGATGTATCTATAGTCAATGGTGCTGGTGCTGCTGTCCTCGTTGATTTTGCAATTGCTTATATTGTTGCTGTCAGTATTGCCTCTGTCCTAACCTTCTCCTCTCCTCTCCTCTCCCTTCTCTTCTCCTCTCCCTTCTCCTCTCCTCTCCTCTCCTCTCCCTTCTCCTCTCCTCTCCTCTCCCTTCTCATCTCCTCTCCCTTCTCTCCTCTCCCTTCTCCTCTCCTCTCCTCTCCTCTCCCTTCTCATCTCCTCTCCCTTCTCCTCTCCTCTCCTCTCCCTTCTCCTCTCCTCTCCTCTCCCTTCTCCTCTCCTCTCCTCTCCCTTCTCTTCTCCTCTCCCTTCTCATCCTCCCCCCCCCCACCACACACTCAGTCACCCTCTTATTATGTACTCTTATGGGTTAGGTACTCTTGATTGGGTATTTGCTAGGACGATTTTTTGTCATGCTCTGCTGTGGTGCGCCACGGGCCAGTCAGTGTTCTGATGGGCCACACCTGTCGCTGTGGTGGTGGCTCAGAGCGCCACGGGCTAGTCAGTGTTCTGATGGGCCACACCTGTCGCTGTGGTGGTGGCTCAGAGCGCCACGGGCTAGTCAGTGTTCTGATGGGCCACACCTGTCGCTGTGGTGGTGGCTGAGAGCGCCACGGGCCAGTCAGTGTTCTGATGGGCCATACCTGTCGCTGTGGTGGTGGCTGAAAGCGCCACGGGCCAGTCAGTGTTCTGATGGGCCATACCTGTCCCTGTGGTGGTGGTTCAGAGCGCCACGGGCCAGTGTTCTGATGGGCCATACCTGTCCCTGTGGTGGTGGTTCAGAGCGCCACGGGTCAGTGTTCTGATGGGCCACACCTGTCGCTGTGGTGGTGGCTCAGAGCGCCACGGGCCAGTCAGTGTTCTGATGGGCCACACCTGTCGCTGTGGTGGTGGATCAGAGCGCCACGGGCCAGTCAGTGTTCTGATGGGCCACACCTGTCGCTGTGTTGGTGGTTCAGAGCGCCACGGGCTAGTCAGTGTTCTGATGGGCCACACCTGTCGCTGTGTTGGTGTTCTGAGCGCCACGGGCCAGTCAGTGTTCTGATGGGCCACACCTGTCGCTGGTGGTGGCTCAGAGCGCCACGGGCCAGATACACGGGTCTTCAGGCAGCGCGTTACATTTAAAATGGCAATTGTGAAAGCTTCTACAAGTGAGTGTCGTCGCGGTTAGCGGTCTGTGAAGGTCGCTATTAGTCGTTTAAGCCAGGATTCGCGAGCAGGTAAAATGTTTTATAGATGAGGACGGGCGCGCGAGGGTTAAACGACAGGTGGCACACTACTGGACGACTTGTGGAGCCAGTGTTGCCAAGTCACTGTTGCACGGTCTCACCCTCCGTGCAGTATAAGGCGCGCAGGTGTGTAAATAACATTACTTGTAATACCTGACTTGTAAGAAAGTGGTATACTGTGTGGGGCCATAAAGGTCACTGCATGCTACGATAATATGGGATGTACTTCTTAGTATACTAAAGTGACGGGTTGGCCTCGACGAAGACTGGAAGCCGGCGGCTTATCAAACTTCCCCATTTGTTTCTCTGCAAAACTCATAAATTCATATTTGGGTCTGGGGGGGACCATCTCCACTCAGGCAGCGTCGGTACTCAAGTGTTGCTGCAACATTCAACAAGTCAGACATTAACCATTTAGGGAGGCAGCTGCCGTTGTTTGTATAGTGGTTGTAGGAACACGATGTTTGGGCGAGCAGGTGTGTGGTGGGGGCCCCTGGAGACGCGGGGCACGGTGCTGGGGAGGACAGCCGGGCGCGGGGAGCACCCACACTGCCTGCCTCGCCCCGCCAGTCCTGCCCCTGTGAGAGTGAGAGAGTGACTGGACTCGCGAAGTGATCCAGCAAGACTTGTCGACTTAGCGACGACGGGAACGACAGCAGTTAGGCAGTAAGGTCATGAACCAGGGGAACACAAGGGGAGGGAAGCCCCTCCCCTCCCACAGTAAGGCAAGGAAGAGAGAACACAAGGGGAGGGAACCCCCCCCCCCTCCCACAGTAAGGCAAGGAAGAGAGAACACAAGGGGAGGGAACCCCCCCCCCCCCACAGTAAGGCAAGGAAGAGAGAACACAAGGGGGAAGGAAGCCCCCCCCCCCCACAGTAAGGCAAGGAAGAGAGAACACAAGGGGGAAGGAAGCCCCCCCCCCACAGTAATTGGCTGCTCTTTGGAAACCATGAAGTCATTTATAAGTTCCGACAATTTGAAAAAAAAAGAGCCAGTAGGAAATTTCTTTTGACTATGACGATCTTAGAAATTATTAATGAAAATATGAAATATTGCAATAAAACTATGAAGCCCTGCGCAACATCCCAGAAAACAGGTCTAGGGAAAGATGAAGTGATGGCTAGTGTGCTCCTGCGCCCCGGAACACGCGACGTGGCATTGTGGCACTGTAACTATTAAGAGATAATAATGCTCGAACAAATATCTTAACTGAACTCTCACAAAGGTAATCACAGAAGACAAGAATCGTGAGAAAACTCGGGCCAAATGTCGTATTCTCAAACTCCAGCGCAAGACATTGTTGGAATTCCTTCACGGCGACCCAAACAAAAGAACGGGGAGGGAGAGGGAGCCGGGTCGTGGCAGCCAGCGCCGCCTCCGTCAATACGTTTGGACAAGTGGGAGCGCCAGCAGCACTCCCACCACCACCCACAGTCACCTGCTCACGCCTCACCTACATCGTCTCCCACCTACACCTATTGTTTCATATTAAACATTTCTTTATTCTCTCAACATAATCAGCTTTATATATGTATGTATATACTGTGTATATACATATGTACATACTGTGTATATATAATTAGACCAACCCTTGTGAGAGCTAAGAAACAATGCAGCTGGGACGGCCCCATTGTAGACAAGAAGCCACAGTTTTGCTGGAGGCAGCAACAACCCCTAGTGACCGTGCACGCCTCACAACTGTGCAGGCTCCCCATGCAGGGACTTTTGGCACTCCATGTCTGCGACAGGCACACGTCTTGATCCGCAGCAGCTCCGTATTGCAGTCACTCTCCGCCTTGCTGCCCCGATCCACACTGTTCATAAGTGTATTTGCGGGGAGAGAGATGCAGATGAATATGGACTGCATGGTCTGCATTGTGGAAAATCAAAGGGTTGGCACTCTAGACACGACAAAATCAATGACATCAATAATAGGAGTCTTGCCTCTGCCCAGTGTCCAGCAGAGAGAGGGAGAGCCTTGCAATCTATTGAACCGTGACTGTCAGCTTTGCTGGCCGACCAGATGGAATCACACTGCGTCACTGGAAAAAAAAACAGTTGGCGTGGGACTATACTTGCATATCCACCCTGACAGCCACATACATCACCCTCTCTGTCAGCCAAGCAGAAGCCGCGGCCACACAAGGAGAAAGAGACAAGTCAACTAAGTACAAGGAAATAGATCACAGGTTCAACTTCATTCCAATAGGATCCGAGACTCTTGGTCCATGGGGAGAGTGTGCAAGGTTTCATAAGGATCTTGGTTCCAGGCTCATTGAAACTACAAGAGACTATAGAAGGCAAGTTTTCTCTTCCAGCACTACAGTGTAGTGATCCAGAGGGGAAATGCCCTCTGCATCCTAGGTTCCTGCCCGGCGTCGGAGAAGTTCGAAGAAATCTACAGCCTCTATGGAACAAAGCTCCCTTTATTTCCTCTTAATATCCACATTTTGTAACCAATCAGATTTACAACTGTGTAGCCTTGTCTAATAAAGTGTACAACATAATAATAAAAAAAATGGGTAGTAGGAGAAGTCAGTACTCATACGCATTTACAGTTAAACGGCAAGTTATTGGCTGAATGCTTCGAGTACCACTTCTCCGATGTGGTACCCCTTTATGTATGTGGTACGGAAAACGAACGAACATTTCCATACAAATGGAAATGTTCGTTTGTTCAAAATCGCTAAGATTTTAACACAACGTTCTATTCGAATCCGAGCGGGTTGTTATATACATACTATATAGTTGTCACGTCTGTGACAGGAAAAAGATGCTTTTTTTTAAAAACTGTGTTTTTCATGTGAGGGAAATCTTCGAAACCTCTTTACCGATTGCTTTGAAATTTTGACACAACGTTGCATTCGAATAGACGCATGTTTTTATAGTCCTACTATATGCATGCCACACCTGTGACAGGGAAAAAAACATGTTTTTTTTTTAAACAGCGCCATCTGTTGGACGTAAAAGCAACACACGCTGTAATCTCCGAAAGTTCTTCACCGATTGCTTTGAAATTTTGAGACAACGTTCCATTCGAATACACGCGTGTTTTTATATACCAACTGTATAGATGCCACACCTGTGACAGGTAAAAACATTTTTTTTCTTTTTTTAAAAATACAGCTCCATCTATTGCACATAAAAGCAACTCAAGCTATATTAAATATGTTACGATTCCATTTGAATGTTTCCGATTGCCATGATAAATTGAATTTTCATAAATTTCGATTTATTTTAATTTTCATTTAATTATTTTGTGCGACATTGTGTTGAAATTGAGCTGTGTTGTTTACCATACCGTTCATTTCATAAGTATAAGTATAGATGCAAACGAGGAGTCACAATAACATGGCAGAAATATGTTGACCAAACCACACACTAGAAAGTGAAGGGACGACGACGTTTCGGTCCATCCTGAACCATTCTCAAGTCATTATGAGTATAGATGCCACACCTGTGACAGGTAAAATCATTCATTTTTGAAGAAACAGCGCAATCTGTTGCATGCAAGAGCAACACACGCTATACTAAATATTCTACGATTCCATTTCAATGTTTCTGATTGCATTGACCAATTGAATTTTTAAAGATTTCAATTGATTTTTATTTTTATTTAATTATTTTGTGCGACATTGAGTTGGACTTGAGCTGCATTGTTTACCATACCATTCATTTCCTGAGTATAGTTTATTTTTGTATTTTTTCATTTTTTCATTTCGTTTTTTTTAACTGTTTTTCTTATATTTCAGTGATGGGAACATCTGATCATTTGATGTTCCCAATTTTCTGATGGGAACATCTGATCGTTTGGGAATGCATCAAACGAGGGAGTGGGGAATGGTGGGGAGGACAAGGAGATGGGAGTGAGGGATGGTGAGGAGGACGAGGGGACAAGGGAGGGGTTAATAGTGGGGAGGACGAGGAGACGGTGGAGTTGGGGATGGTGGGGACGAGGGCACAGGGGAATGGAGAATGGTGGGTAGAACAAGGGGACAGAGGAGTGGGGGATGGTGGAAAGGACAAGGGGACGGGGGAGGGGGGGAGGGAATGGTAGGGGTAACGAGGAGATGGGGGAATGGGAGATGGTGGGGAGGAGGAGGGGACTGTGGAATGGGGGAATAGTTAGGAAGACGAGCGGACGTTGGAGTGGGGGATGTTGGGGAGAGGGGAATAGTGGGGAGGACGAGAGGACGGGGTAGTGGGGAATGGTTGGGAGGAAGAGGGGACGGGTGAGTGAGGAACGGTTGTTAGGATGAGGGGACAAGGCAAGGGGAATGGTGGGGAGGACTGGGAGAAAGATGAAAGTTGCTGAGGCTCAGCATTGCACATGCGTTGCTGAGCCACAGCAACGCATGGCCGGGTACAGCTAGTATACATATATGTTAAGAACTCAACCCCAGGAAGGATTCGAACCTCAGATTTGAATATTTAAAGTATGGTGCTCTAAACACCAGAGTATCCAGTACGTTATCCACTTGACCACTGCAGACTTTACAAAAGTCGTTGATAGCCGAGGCTATTTACATCAACGACCCGAATATTCTGGGGAATAATAGGATTAAGGACCTGCCTGAAACGTTATGCGTGCTGGTGGCTGTACAAGAATGTAAGAAATCTTGTATATATATATAAATAAAATCGTATCCCGTACAAGTAGCCAACAAGTAGCGTGGAGTGAAAGGATGGTGACGCGACCTGCACCTTACAGGACTTGAAGAGCACTACGACACGGAACTGCAACATCAAGGTACACAGTATTTACAAGTACACACACTAGGAACCGTGGCTCAGCAGTTAGTGTTGCTGTTTCTGCTGCTGCTGCTGCTGCAATTGTTACTGTTTCTGCTGCTGATCAGTGAGACTGTTGCTGCTTTCACCACCACAAGGAGCAGCTCGCACCTTGAGTCACGTATATTTCAGACACTTAATGGTTGGCCTTTTGTATTGTAGAGACGTTTATGCTGCCATTGTTCTGTGGGTGTAAAGGCAGAGAGGGAGAGAGCTGTGGCTATTACACTGTGGCTTCCTCTCCGCCGCATCCCGTTATTGGCCTCAAATATCTCCTTATTGCTCGAGCGTTTCAATAACATTTCAATATCTTTACGTGTCCGCATAGTCCGTATCCCCGGTAGTACAGTAGGCTTCGTCCTTGGCACACAATCGGGAGATCGCGGGTTCGATTCCCGGGAGAGACAGAAATAGGTAAGCACTTTTGTTTTCCTTTCATCTAATGCTTGTAGTCACCCAGCAGTAAATAGGTACCCGGGAGTCAGGCAACTGTTGTGGGTTGCATCCTGGGGGATACTCAGCAGTTGGACTAGAAAGAAATTATAGTTACAAACTTCTTCACCAGACACTTTAACGTGTAAAGACCGTTAATTAGCTGTGGGTCTACCAGCCATTCAACTGTGGTGTCTGGCGTCTTGCAGAGTCGCTGCTTTGAATGCTCTGAGGTTGGATTTGAGGTTACGGATTGTATTATCCAGTTCCAAGGTGCTTTATTTCGTATTTCTTTTGATGATTTGTAGTCCTATACATTGTGGCATTCGCCATGTGGTTCTATATATTGCAGCATTCTCCCTGAGGTCCCATATAGTGAAGCATGCTTTCAGTGGTCCTATATATATATATATATATTAGTGCAACATCCTTAATGTTGTCCTATATAATGCAGCATGCTCTCAACAGTTCAATTAATGTAGAGTGACCTATGAAGTCCTATGCACTGTTGTGTGCTCTATCTTATATGGTCCTATATAATAATGCTCATAATCTTCAGGCTTTACAAATGCTTTAGCTTTTTCGTCTGCGTCGCTTGTCCGCCTGCTCATCATGTTGTAGAGATGATGACAGTGCCAAACACGACCAGAATTCATCATGCCTCTAGGCAACCTCTTACGAAACCTCTACATCTTTTTTCAATCATGGCGGGTTTGTTGATATTTATTAAACAATTTGAGCTCCAAAGCTCTGCGAGATTGTTTACAACAGTAATAAACTTGCGCGGTGACGTTTTCGAGCTCGACAATTGTGTAGATGATTGTTGAATAATGTACCTGGTTTGTTCCTTGCTTAAGACTCCTCTATGGCGACGCCTCCGCCGCCACCTCTGGCAGCAGGTCAGACGCTGGGGTCCTGGTCTATGGCGACGCCTCCGGCAGCAGGTCAGACGCTGGGGTCCTGGTCTATGGCGACGCCTCCGCCGCCACCTCCGGCAGCAGGTCAGATGCTGGGGTCCTGGGCTATGGCGACGCCTCCGGCAGCAGGTCAGATGCTGGGGTCCTGGGCTATGGCGACGCCTCCGGCAGCAGGTCAGATGCTGGGGTCCTGGGCTATGGCGACGCCTCCGGCAGCAGGTCAGATGCTGGGGTCCTGGGCTATGGCGACGCCTCCGGCAGCAGGTCAGATGCTGGGGTCCTGGTCTATGGCAACGCCTCTGCCGCCACCTCCGGCAGCAGGTCAGACGCTGGGGCCCTGGTCTATGGCAACGCCTCCGCCGCCACCTCCGGCAGCAGGTCAGACGCTGGGGTCCTGGTCTATGGCAACGACTCTGCCGCCACCTCCGGCAGCAAGTCAGACGCTGGGGTCTTGGTCTATGGCAACGACTCCGCCGCCACCTCCGTCAGCAGGCCAGACGCTGGGGTCCTGGTCTATGGCGACGCCTCCGCCGCCACCTCCGGCAGCAAGTCAGACGCTGGGGTCCTGGTCTATGGCAACGCCTCCGCTGCCACCTCCGGCAGCACCGTTAGCGGGTCAGGGGAAAAAAGTCAAAGTAAGCAGGCAGACAATAGGCTATAAATCCTCCACCGTGGGATTGTAATCTCGTCCTCGGTGTCTCCATCTCCCTCCTGATAGACCCCCAGTCTCTTCCAGGCTACCACAGCTTACATCACTTGATAACATCTTGTGCAATGTTGATTACTGATGCTTTTCCTCGACACCAGCTGGTTAAGAGACAAACACAGACCTTCCGACACATTGTGCTCTCTCTCTCTGGTCCTATACACTGTAGCGTGTTGTAGTGGTCCTATATAATGTTCACTGTCTTCAGGGCTTCCATGTGCCCTGAGAGTCGTAGAGCCGGTGGCCATAGTGTGAGTGGCAAGGTTAAGAGCAGGAGAGAGTCACCCACAGTAAGTGACACTGTGCCTTCAACAGCTGGAGACGGCCGCGTGAGCCAGGGAGATGAAGACATCGGGAAGACTGGCCGGGGCCCCGGCGGTGACAGTCTAAGCAATACCTTTAAGAATAAATGCCACGCATCGTTGACACGAGGCGACAACCGCTGCCAGGAGGATGTTATCAAGATGGACACCACGCCAGGACGACCGCGAGCACGACCGCAAGCAACGCCACACCAGGAGATTAACACGGCCCGAGTAATCAGTGATTGATCACCAATCAGCGAACATTCTTGGCGATGTTTTAGGGTTTAGTGTGTAGGGGCGGCGGGCGTCCCCGGCCGCACGTCCCCGGCCGCACGTCCCCGGGCGGGCGTCCCCGGCCACACGTCCCCGGGCGCACGTCCCCGGGCGCGAGGGACCGGTCACGGAGGTAAGCCATCCTGGTTGTCGAGGGGACACAAACACACAAGTACATCAACAATGTTCCGTGCATGGTCACTACGAGCACAGTGGTGACCATCAGGGAAACGAATGTTGCCACGGAGCTGGTGGGAGATGTATATGGAGAGACAGGGGTGAGGAGAGAGAGAGGAGAGAAAGAGAGAGAGAAAGAGAGAGAGAGAGAGAAGAGAGAAGAGAGAAGAGAGAGAGAGAGAGAGAGAGAGAGAGAGAGAGAGAGAGAGAGAGAGAGAGAGAGAGAGAGAGAGAGAGAGAGAGAGAGAGAGAGAGGGGGGGGGGGGGATGAGGAGACAGGGGGGGTACGGAGGCGTCACCTTCACCAAGAAGCACTGGTCGGCTCCCCATGTAAAATTCATACCCCCGACCACTCATCCATCTCAGTTTCCAGACCAGAGATAGTAGACTCTCGCTATCTCTGGCTGCCACCACCACCACTCTCTCTCTCTCTCTCTCTCTCTCTCTCTCTCTCTCTCTCTCTCTCTCTCTCTCTCTCTCTCTCCCCCCCTCCCTCTCTCCACCATTTTCCTGCCCCTTCCCTTGATTATGCTTGAAGACAATTGTGTTCTCTCTCAGCCGCAAACGATGGCTATTGAAACAACACCTTTTTTCAGATATCAATTAGGTGTTGGTGGAGCAGAGTTGGGGGGGGAGGGGAGTTGGCCGGCGGCCGGGCCACAGTACACACGAGGGCCCCTATTCACACGCGGGCCCCTGTACACACGAGGGCCCCTATTTACACGCGGGCCCCTGTACACACGAGGGCCCCTGTACACACGAGGGCCCCTGTACACACGCAGGCCCTTGTACACACGAGGGCCCCTGTACACACGAGGGCCCCTGTACACGAGGGCCTCTGTACACACGAGGGCCCCTGTACACACGAGGGCCCCTGTACACACGAGGGCCCCTGTACACACGCGGGCCCTTGTACACACGAGGGCCCCTGTACACTATTCAAATGTAGATATGATAGAGCCCAGTAGGCTCAGGAAACGGGTCCGTCTAATTACCAAAAACTACCACATACTACACACGCTTCAGAAAACTTCCTGGCAATACGTTAGTAATGAATAAATATGATATATTAAGTTAGGCTGACCTAACCTGACCTAACCTAACCTAACCTAACCTATCCTAACCTATCCTAACCTAACCTAACTTAACCAAACCTAACCTAACCGAAGCTTGGATCGTCGACTTGATTTGGCGTTACCAGCTTTTTATTTTCGTCTAATTTCTTTATAAAAAGATACTTTTTCGGATTAAAATTATGTTTTTTCATGTTGTATGTTCAGCACCAACATTGTAATGAGTAAATATATCATATTTATTCATTACTAACGTATTGTCAGGAAGTTTTCTGAAGCGTGTGTAGTATGTGGTAGTTTTTGGTAATTAGACGGACCGCAGGAATCTGTACACCAGTTGATTGACAGTTGAGAGGCGGAACCAAAGCTCAACCCCCGCAAGCACAATTAGGTGAGTACAATTAGGTGAGTACACACGCGGGCCCTTGTACACACGCGGGCCCCTGTACACACGAGGGCCCCTGTACACACGAGGGCCCCTGTACACACGAGGGCCCCTGTACACACGAGGGCCCCTGTACACACGAGGGCCCCTGTACACACGAGGGCCCCTGTACACACGCGGGCCCCTGTACACACGAGGGCCCCTGTACACACGAGGGCCCCTGTACACACGCGGGCCCCTGTACACACGCGGGCCCCTGTACACACGCGGGCCCCTGTACACACGAGGGTCCCTGTACACACGCGGGCCCCTGTACACACGCGGGCCCCTGTACACACGCGGGCCCCTGTACACACGCGGGCCCCTGTACACACGCGGGCCCCTGTACACACGCGGGCCCCTGTACACACGCGGGCCCCTGTACACACGCGGGCCCCTGTACACACGAGGGCCCCTGTACACACGCGGGCCCCTGTACACACGAGGGCCCCTGTACACACGAGGGCCCCTGTACACACGAGGGCCCCTGTACACACGAGGGCCCCTGTACACACGCGGGCCCCTGTACACACGCGGGCCCCTGTACACACGAGGGCCCCTGTACACACGTACACACGGGCCCCTGTACACACGAGGGCCCCTGTACACACGCGGGCCCCTGTACACACGCGGGCCCCTGTACACACGCGGGCCCCTGTACACACGCGGGCCCCTGTACACACGCGGGCCCCTGTACACACGCGGGCCCCTGTACACACGCGGGCCCCTGTACACACGCGGGCCCCTGTACACACGCGGGCCCCTGTACACACGCGGGCCCCTGTACACACGCGGGCCCCTGTACACACGCGGGCCCCTGTACACACGCGGGCCCCTGTACACACGAGGGCCCCTGTACACACGCGGGCCCCTGTACACACGCGGGCCCCTGTACACACGAGGGCCCCTGTACACACGCGGGCCCCTGTACACACGAGGGCCCCTGTACACACGCGGGCCCCTGTACACACGAGGGCCCCTGTACACACGCCCCTGGGCCCCTGTACACACGAGGGCCCCTGTACACACGAGGGCCCCTGTACACACGCGGGCCCCTGTACACACGAGGGCCCCTGTACACACGAGGGCCCCTGTACACACGAGGGCCCCTGTACACACGAGGGCCCCTGTACACACGCGGGCCCCTGTACACACGAGGGCCCCTGTACACACGAGGGCCCCTGTACACACGCGGGCCCCTGTACACACGAGGGCCCCTGTACACACGCGGGCCACTGTACACACGAGGGCCCCTGTACACACGAGGGCCCCTGTACACACGAGGGCCCCTGTACACTCGAGGGCCCCTGTACACTCGAGGGCCCCTGTACACACGAGGGCCCCTGTACACTCGCGGGCCCCTGTACACACGAGGGCCCCTGTACACACGAGGGCCCCTGTACACACGAGGGCCCCTGTACACACGAGGGCCCCTGTACACACGAGGGCCCCTGTACACACGAGGGCCCCTGTACACACGAGGGCCCCTGTACACACGAGGGCCCCTGTACACAGGCCCCTGTACACACGAGGGCCCCTGTACACACGAGGGCCCCTGTACACACGAGGGCCCCTGTACACACGAGGGCCCCTGTACACGAGGGCCCCTGTACACACGGGCCCCTGTACACACGAGGGCCCCTGTACACACGAGGGCCCCTGTACACACGAGGGCCCCTGTACACACGAGGGCCCCTGTACACACGAGGGCCCCTGTACACACGAGGGCCCCTGTACACACGAGGGCCCCTGTACACACACACGAGGGCCCCTGTACACACGAGGGCCCCTGTACACACGAGGGCCCCTGTACACACGAGGGCCCCTGTACACACGCGGGCCCCTGTACACACGAGGGCCCCTGTACACACGAGGGCCCCTGTACACACGAGGGCCCCTGTACACACGAGGGCCCCTGTACACACGAGGGCCCCTGTACACACGAGGGCCCCTGTACACACGAGGGCCCCTGTACACACGAGGGCCCCTGTACACACGCGGGCCCCTGTACACACGAGGGCCCCTGTACACACGAGGGCCCCTGTACACACGAGGGCCCCTGTACACACGCGGGCCCCTGTACACACGCGGGCCCCTGTACACACGAGGGCCCCTGTACACACGAGGGCCCCTGTACACACGAGGGCCCCGGCGGGCCTTACTACTGCTGGAATATAAACGATAAACACCAAGAGATCAAAGACCACAATATAAAATTTTAGATTCCATTGCCATTGTGTTGTCTGGGTCTATTGCATATTTAATGGTGGCCGGGCGCACCGGCTCTCAGGGCAAGAGTTCCTTGGGGTGGTTTTCCTTTGCACTAAGACGTCAACTTTCACCATTGCCGACCCCGGTGCTTGGCACGCTAATGCCCCGAAACCTTCATATTCCGTGACGTGCATGGCAGTGGCAGCCGTCCGCCATTCTCTAAAAACTACTCCGGCAAATATACGACGTTTGCCTCCCAGAATGGGCCCATCTATTGCATTACGGAGAGACGAACATACCGTCGTTTATACACCTATATAATGCCTTAGTGGTGAGAGCAATGGCGGCGAGAGCCACCATCTGGTGAGAGGTGTAGGGGCGGCGCTGCTGCCCGAGGTACGAGCACCAGGCGCCCAGACGCCACACAAACCATCCACTTGCCGAAGGTTAACTGTAGGTGATGGTGGTCGCCGTCCTCATATGCATCTATTTACACCCCGGGGAATTCTCGGCCACGTTTTTTCAGCGACAGGTTTAAGAGAAACTGAACACGGAATTAGACTATGCGGGGAGCTCCAGCGGCGTCCTCGGGCAGCGATGGTGGGTCCCTGTGGGCGGGTCTCAGGGCTGGTGGCAGTCGTCGGCCCCCCACACCACCCGACTGATAACTTAACGCGGAGATCACCGCTATATTAATGTTACCATCAAACGCTTCACTACAACAATGACAAGTAACGTTGGGGCAGTGTGATGTACTCACCCCTCACGTGCTGGGGAGGGGGTCTCCTGCCCCCCCCTGCACCTCGCCCCCCTGCACCTGTGTGTGTGTCCGGCCTTCCAGGCAGGATCACACAGATATTACCATGATAACACCGACCGTGCTAACACCACAGGTGATACGGTGTCTATCTTTGACCCTTAGCTGGAGGGGAAAGTAAGAGGGGGCGGGGAGGCTGATTGGCCTTCAGGAGATGGATGCCCCATGAGGAGATGGATGCCCCCAGGAGGAGATGGATGCCCCAGGAGAGGAGGTGGATGCTCTAAGAAAGCGTCTGTCCGAGGAAAGGGAAAAGAACGAAGCAGGGTAC